ATGTGGTCACCTGTGTCTGGCATTTCCTGGCGGTCGGACGTGCCGCTGTGTGGAAGGCCATCACTTGGCCAACGAGTCCCACTGTGTGGCTGGACACCCCTGCCCTCCTGACTCCAAGGCATGCCTGGATGGCCAAACCTGTCTCCCCACCATAAAGTTCTGTGATGGTCATCCGGACTGTCCGGACCACTCGGATGAAAACTGTAAGACCCCTGTCCAGAGACGCATGCATGATTCTGGGTGGCCCTTATGGCTGAATTAAGATTAAGTGATTTTTTTCTAGCCGACTCGTAGAGCCTTGACCTATTGAAATACCCCCCCCACTCACTAACAGGTACCGTTGACCTGTTGAGACCCAGAGGTCCCCGACCCTCCTTCAGCGCTCCCAGCTCTGCCGTCCCCACGTCCCTTGACGACCTCTTGCAGCGCGAGCTGGAAGCAGAGTCATGTGACGAGAGGCTGTGTGGTGGGCGTGGCAAATGCGTGAGTGTGCCGGACGGTGGCACCGCCTGCGAGTGCCACTCAGGCTTTCAAGGAACGTTCTGCGAGGATGGCGCTCCGTCGGTCCAGCCGCTGATCACCTATGCTGGCGGCGCCTTGGCCGCTGTGGTCGTCGTTGCCGTCGCGGCCCTGTTTGTCATCAGGAGGAGGAAGGCAGCAGGCAAAAGGTGAGCTTTATGTAGGTGTGATGGGCTGGAGTCACTGTGGGCATGATCCTTAAGATCCAAACCTTCCTCAGTGGCATTCAGCTGTAGACTTCTGATCCAGCCCATACAAGCACTTTTTTTTTTGAATTTCATTGCAAAGTAAAAGGTTGTGAAATGGAATAGTTTTGATTGGCCAAAAACTGTGACATTGCAAAGTAACCCCTGTTCAGTCCTCCCTACAAGGGTCTCCATCTGTAACCTCTCTGCTCTTGGTTTGTTTGCCTGGACCTGCCTCATGCCTACAGGAGAGAGAGGGTCGTCACCATGGCGGCCCCCCAGACGGAGATGGTGGCTCGGGTAGAGGGACCCCCAGCACAGGCCTCTGCCTCCCCCCCAGAGGCGCACAGCCCTGAGGTAACTGCCTCTTCAGACTTTTGCTCCAGTGATCATTCTTGTCACACTTTTCATTAACGCTACAGCTGTGTGCTGTCACATTGCGATTCGTATGGCACATGGGCAATGATCACCAGGGCTTCAGATAACAGGTGTGAACGTTTGATAGCGGATAAGATTTTTGGTGTTGTATGAACTTTAGCCCACGGTTTGGTAAGCAGATTAGTAGCATGCCTAAAATACTGAAATGCCATGTGATCATGTGGCCCTGGTACCACGGTGACTGTTGATATAATCACCACCTGTTTTCTTTGTGGGTTACAGGAGCCTGTTTCCCCGGAACATTGACCACACCTTCACAGAATGCCAACAGCCCTTCTGTACCTGAAATAAATGCTCATTGAACTTGTGCATGTTCCCTGAGTGTGATTCTATACAAATGGTTCATAATGTTATACCCAAGCAGAGCTAAAGGTACCATTGGCAGAATATGTACAGTATTGTATCTGTTAAACAAAATCTAATCTCTGGCCCCTCTACTGATCCTTCCATGCAAAATATTTGACTAGTTAACTGCCCTGCTATCCTGACCAGTTTAATGGTGACCAACTAGGGTTTGCTTAACTTCTATACAATAATACATTTTACAGCGCTAAACTCACTGCTGTGGCAGTGGTCCTTGGTCTCCGTATTAAGCAGCATTGCTTTACATCCATGTATCTATGTACCTAATCAACCAACCACTTATGAAAACGGCAGGATACTGAGATGGCAAGAAACTCATTCAGGATAACCACTGAATTTTCATTTAAAGTGTAATAGCTTTTTCTTTTTCACCTGCCAGTGATGCACAAGGGTGGACTTGTTAATCAGGGCAGGTTTTTGGCTCTGCTCATACATGACTTCATCTTCTCAAACATTTCATTTAGTGGTCAAGCAGCCCTCTGCTCTATGTAGGATGAAATACACACTTGTCCCTAATGAGTTGATACAGCCTGGTTCAGAGAGTGTTTATTGTACTGACACGAGTGGCTGTGCTGGAGGGTCCAAATGCCTGCTGCTATGAATAAATCGCTGTAAGCTCTAGCTACTGTACCTGCCCAGCACTGGCAAGGAAATGACTGCAGGGATTCAGCTGTGTCTTACAAAGCTATAGATGTAGTGTGGTGGAACAAACATGAAGGCAACTTTGAGGTTCCAGCAGAATGTTGACCTGAGCTATTGATCTGACTCCTTCGGAGACCAACAAATAGATTTTTATTGCAGTTATAAGCCACTAATGTATTTGGGCTTGATAGTTGAAGTTTCAGCACTAGCATTGAAATGTCATTTTTGAAATTGCTTATGTTGAGGATTTCACCCGTACGTCCAATCTGAACAAGTCCCAATGTTTCATTATGGTCGGCTCGTCTCTTGGGAACCAGTCACAAATAGCAAGGAGATGAACCCACTGGTCTTTGATCATAGGCCCTGCTTTCTTACTACTGTGTCATCAACTAACCCTAAAGAAAGGTTAGGGATTGAGTTCTTAAATTTACTTACATTTAATCACTTGCATTTTTTGTGCCAAATAAGCAAATATTGAAGGGAAAATAAAGGCGCTGTGATTTTAGTTATTGTTATTTCTGAAAAGTAAATGAGTAAATCAGTGAAACAATAGGGTTGATTTTGTGGCTTTTGCTTATTCTGGAATATAATGCTCACATTCTTGGTGTTTACGACGACTTATGGTCATGATGACTTCTGGGACACGAGCAATAATGGTTTACCTCAGATTGTGCTGGTCAAAGCAAAAAACGCTGCAACAGCCAGTGATTACATGGTAACAGCATAACCAAACATGTTTATGATGCTTAAAATGGCTTGAAAATGCTTAAATATTACTTTGATGAGTAGTCGTATAGGCTTCATGCAAACATTAAAGGCAGAGGCAGCCTGTAAGAACTGCCAGGAAAATTAAAGCTTCCCTTTAAACCATGGAATCCAAATAGTGGATATTGTCTTGGGCTAGTGTACAATTATAACAAATGCTGATGTAGATTACTTTCTAGATAAAGGCACTGCCACATTTTATTCTCTATCTTAGTGAAAGTGAGTATATCTAAGTTTCACATAAAGTCTGAATAACGGAATCATTGTTTGATGAACTCACTGGTATGTTGCTTTGGAGCATCCACTAAATAAATGTAAATATAAAATGTAACTTTAAATATGGCAACTGGCATACCAAGAAAGTCCAGTTCAAAATGGGCTCTGATCTGATTAATTACATGAGATGATTTAAGGTCCATTAAACGTGTGTGTTTAGTCTGGATGGGAAAAATAACTGATAAATATCAGTGATAAAACAGCATAGAAAGGAAAAAATATGCCCCCCCCCCTTACATTTTTTTTTTTTTTTTTGTAAATACTGAGCTGTGGTCTGCTTTTCATTAAGCAGATGATTTTATCCAAAGTGACAGATTTTTGGGACAGCAGTGTCAGATGCTTCCTGGGAGAGTCAGGGGTTAAGGGTCTTGCTCAAAGACCGAACGGCGAAATTGCTCCACTGACCCTGAGATTTGGGCTGGCAGTCTTCCACTTACAGACACCTCTGTCTCTTTGTCAACAATTATCAAACACATTCATTTTCAAAAAGTAAAATCCTAACTGCATGTTTAAAGATTGAAGGATTGTTATTGCCGAATGCATAATGAAACAGCTAATGCTTTCAAATGGTTTCCTTACACATCTGTAGAAACTCCTGGCCTTTGGAATTGTTTTGTGTGTTTAATTCGATGGTAATAAAGTGATTTGACTTTGTTATTCAAAGGCCAGTATTTATGCATATTGGAAAGTCGATTGATTTACCAAATACTTAGAGATGAAGCTGATATATAGATATAAGGGTGCCTATGCAAGAATGATCATGAGGGAATGAGCAAACCTGCTGAAATTGCTGAATAGTTTGCCCAAGTCTGCTAAACAGATCATGGAAAAAGAAGACAGTAAGGTCAACAGAAGGACAAGATCAATCTTTAGATAACATCCCGGGTGCAGAGACAGAAGTTGAGCAAAAGATCTGGCTATTTGGAGAAATTCGGAAACATTGCGAAACAAGCTTGGAGAACATTAAAAGTGAAGGAGTGATCTAGGGCAGTGTTTCCCAAACCAGCCCTCGTGGTACGCTGAACAGAGTCAGGAGCTTTAAATAAATATCGTATTAGCTGAAGTAAGTAATTCAGTTGCCAAGCTGAACTAAACTAATTGTTGACTTAAATCAAAGTGAAATGTATGTCTGGAATCAGAGTGGACATGTACTGTATATGTCATTAAAAAGTATATGACCTTTAATCATTCGCAATGGAGCTGAGCCACTCTGAGGAAAATCGTAGGTGTGACACCCTTTGCATAGAGTGAATAAACTAACCTTGCATTGAAAGAGACTCTCCTCCACCCTGCTGATTGATACATCTAAATTGATCAGTCTAAACTGAAGGCTTAGGGCTCTGATACATAACCAGAGTCTTTCTGCCAGATCTGCGGAGATGAGCCACCTGTCTGTCCTGTCATCTCCGCCCGTGCCACTTTCTTCCCAGCAGCAAAAGCCACCAATGGGCAAAGTGAAGAATGTCAAATCAGCACTGAAATTGGGACCCAGGCCATTTCCGCCCACAGAGCAGCAAAACGCAGCTGTGCGCCGCCTGAGGGTGTGACATCCAGCCCGGGGGCTGTCAGCCGGTCTGCCCTAAGCTGGCGTTTGTCCAGCTGAGGCACCACTTACCGGCTTGGGGGATAATAACCAAACTCCCAGTTATCATTCACAGCCCTGACAGTCTTATTTAAAGTGTCACGCCTCTTATTGTTTATTTTTATTTATGAAAGAAAGTCCTACAAGTCACGCAGCACAACATGTTGGAATGACATACCAGGAACAGGTTTCCGCAGGAGGTTTCCGACAGGACATCCCAGGAAGTGTTTCGATTAAAAGGGACGAGACCCAGTGTGACCGCCTTCATATAAGGGTTCGCAAGGCCGTCTGCTCGCTCTTCCTACAGTCCATTTAGGACCCTCCAGTCAGCACCGGAGCCAGTAAAGTCGTCGATCTGACAGCGTTACGAACGTGAAGATTTTCCCTTCAGCACTGCGGCGGCGGGTACAGGCGCTCAGACCGGGGTAAGGCTCCACAAGCGCACTTTTAAACATTGTTTTGTATTTGGGCTGATTGTTAAACTGCGTAGTTCATTCATTTAGGCCGAACTGTGCGTGAGATGTGGAAAGAAAGGTGTGCTGCAGGCTTATTAGCTGGTTATTGCCGGGGGCCTTACTCAGGATTTTAGCCCCCATGAAAGAATAACATACTGGGGCCCCAACCTCAACCAATAAAATTATGTTTCGAATTTGGAACTTTCCCCACCTTTGCAGTACCCCTGGTTATTATACTTCCCCAGAGTTACAGGAACATGCTAAGATATAGTGCTGCTGAGGCCAATTACTGACTGTAAACTGCATTTGTTGTATGTTTTTATGCATGTCTGTACATGAATGTATAGCCTTGGAATCCCATCTAATTTAATGGCTTAATAATGATTCTTACAATCCAAGCACAGGGAGAGGACATTTATCCTGTAGTCTTAGAGCATTTTGTGGGGGGGGGGGGGGGGTTAGGACCTCGCTCAAGGGCCCAACGGAGATGTGACTATTCAACAAAGGCCGGGGATAAAACCTGCAAAAGTCCGAACACTGGCACAGAAGCCTAACCCGACACCCTCCGCTTCCTGTGAGGTTACTGTAACCATAGCAGGACAATCAGTTTATTGGTTAAGGACGGCAGGCAGGTGGCACGGTGCTGCAGTGTTTAGTGCCGTTTCCTCACACCTATAGGACCAGAGTTTGAGGCTCTGCCCCATGTTCACCCCACATCATCATCATCAGGTTTTCTCCACCTTCCTTCCCACAATCCAAAGACATGCAATGACAAATTGGATTTGCCTGTAGGTGTATATCCTGCAGTGCATTATTCCCGGCTTTGCGCCCATAGTATCTGGAATAGGCTTCGGAACCCTGCAAAGGACATACGAGTGTAGAAAACCAGAGGTAGTGATTCAATTCAGTAACGCAGAATTTTGCAGAATTCTCTGTAATGATGCTTCGCTATGAAGGCTAGCTGTCGGTCGATTTTCAAGAATTATTAATAATATTTAGCGTAACATTAACGGTGATAGGAAATGTGTGCGACCTCTGTGTTCACATATTACTTTATTCCCAGGTGATGGGTGTGCTAAATAAGGATTCACCAGCGAGCTGAAAGCCTTGCATGAGCAAACTAATAAACTGGTTGTTTCATTCCCAGGAAATACGGCTCAGGAGATGGATGCCCTTCGGACCACTGCTCTCATTCTCCTCATCGTGACTATGGCATCATCAAAGCCAGTAAGAATTACATCCCATTCCTATGATGCACTGGTAGCAACATAAACATCTAAAATGCTTCATCATTATGATTGATACTTTATTGATCAGTGGGGGGAAATTCTCTTTATGCCTGCCCCAACTTGCTCTTTGTAGACTGGTTGTTTCCTCACACCTCTAGGACCAGGGTTTCAGCCTTAGTAAGCTGGTCGTGAGGGGCAGCCACCTGTTGTGGCAGCCTTGCTCAAGGACCTGCAGATGTGCTAAAGCTGGGTTTGAACTGGTGACCTTCTGATCACAGGCACAGCCCACTGAGCCATGTGCTGCCCCCCTGAAAAGACACTGTTAGTCATGCAGGTGTGACGTGTGGCTCAGTGGGTTAAATCTTTGTGCCTGTGCTCAGAAGGTTGTTGGTTTGAGCCCCAGCCACAGCAGAATAACCACATGCCCGAGAGCCCCTGAATAAGACCATTAATCCTTGGTTGTTACAAATGTGTGCTGTGACCCCCAGCAAGCTGCACACAGAGTAAGAGGGGGCAAAGACTGTTTCCCTACAGTGATTAATAAAGATACTTTATTCTATTCAGCTGGAAAAAGAAAATTCAACACATAGTAGGGCTTTCTGTGCGCCAGAGTTTCTTAAACAATGCCTCATCTTGACAGATTAGATGGCGTGGAAACAACCTCAGAAAAATGGTCACCAAAGTTGTGGAGACCTCAGAATCCAATGAGTCTGTCTCCTCGGAGGAGCTGGAGCTGGAGCTGGATCCGACGACAGCTCCGCCGGTCATCCCCGACACGACCCTCCTGGCTGTCGTCACCGATACTCCTCTGCCCCTCATCCCAGAGGCCACCCTTGAGCCTACACCCCCTCCCCTAGGCATCGAGACCGGAGCCCCCCTGTACCTCACTGAGGGTCCTCTGATTTCCGACCAGCCAACTGATCCATTTTCAGCTGTGACACCAGACACCGTTGAGCCCTTGGCTCCATCTACGCCTCAACCTATCAGCGGTCTCCCTCTATGTGTTAATGTAGACATTTCATACCCTCCGTTACCAAGCAGAGGTGACAACTTGAAGTAACGCAAGAAGGTGATACCATTAGCTAGCAGTACGTCATATAGTCTCCCTCACATTATCCACAACCTTTTCATGGCCTTCTGTGTTAGTATTACCTGTTTATAAAATGAAGGTTCAGGATGCTGACTGACAGGAACACTATCCTTGGTCCATGAAACATTTATCAATCTATGTCCATATATGTCTTTTCAGCATTTGTGAAGGTGACATTCATTGTTTTCCCAGCAATGCTACCAATAAAGGGTATATCAAAGACACAGATGGTCTTCAATGCCTTAAGAGAGAAGTATGGTGTACAGTGCTAAGTTCTACCAGGATGTGAACCACTTAACACTTGTGAAGCAGTTAAACACAACTCCCTCCCCCAGAGTGATTTCTGGGCACAAACCCAAGGTTGGGAGATAATGAACAATAAAAAATAAACAGAAAAACACATCAGAATCTGATTACCGCCGCAAACGCAAACAACAATGTGACATGAAGAACACAAAACTGCCTTCAGATGTCTGCACGGCCTTTTTCCCCAAACACCAGACCTATGCAGTGAGCCTCAACAACGCGGGGGGGCGGACGGAGAGGAGACAGGGTGCAAGGAGCCCACCCCAGCAGCCTAACGTGACCCCCACCCCTCAGGGCAAGAGCACCATCCACTGGCATCACCGCCAACATTCGTTCAGATGATATGGTTTCATTTTTTGTACGAGAATGTGGAGCGTTACACGACCGTCCCGTCTATCCTAAACACGGAAAAGGTCAAAGATCACGAAAGCCATGTTAAACCATAAGGGAAACAATGACATTTCACATAATGTATATATAATTCACGTAATACAAGATGCTTTAACAATAAAACTGATATTTCCTTGCTATTTGTGGCAACATTAAACTAAGTAAAGCATCACCAGCCAGCCAGTGTAACTCTTAAAAGACAAGACGCATATTCGAGGCCCAGTTTCTAAAGGTTTAATAACGGAGTTTTAAAAATAAAACACACTGTATATTCCTGAGGGCTTAAGGTCAGCTTTAAATGTAAAATAAACATTTTCTTAATAGTTATATCCACAGCAAATCAAATTACTACTGCATGAAAAATGTATAGGTTTCTGTAGTATCTGTGTACATAACAGAATACATTCAACCTAGAAATCAAGGAGGGCCACGTTCCCCAGTAAGACACCTCAGGATTAGCATGATGGTGAAGATATTTTATAAACACAAGCAAGAAAAACTGTAATAATCAATCACACTGTACAGGCCATTTGGGACAGCAGCAGCTGGCTTCTATCCTAAATGTATGCACACACGTGGGGTTGAACTGAGATGTGTGCTTTAAGCTCCACTGGACTATGTCAAGATATTCTGGCATCTCAATCACTGGTTTAAGAATAATGCCAAAGCATCAAGGTGACCCAAAATGGAATAAAAAGGCCACCACACCTATTAAGCTCAAGGTATTTCTCCCACCCCCAGAAAAAAACCTTTTTACATCACAATGCAAAGTTTATGACACATATGTAGAGATCACTCCAGCAATTAGGTGAATAGAATGAATAGGATTTTGAATTCCGAAAATGCACCAACGAGCTACATCGACGAAAGACGAAATTCAGTCTTTCCATGAGGAAGGAATAAAGGAATGGGCGTGGCCTACTGGCAGACAGATTCCCAGTCCATGAGGAAGGAATGGGCGTGGCCTATTGGCAGACAGACTCCCAGTCCATGAGGATCCACGCACGGCTTACACTGGCTATTCCAGGACGCCACCGGAGCAGTAGGGCGTTCAGAGTTCTTGGGGACGTGTGAAAGGGGCTGGAGTGTCACCTGCAGGATTCCTGGTCGCGGTGTGTTCTGGTGAGCTGCCCGGCATGGCCCGGTTATGTTTGGCATTCAGTCAGTTTGTGGATCCGCCTGCCCCGGGTCTCCCCCTCCCGCCTGCCCCGGGTCTCCCGCCTGCCCCGGGTCTCCAGCCTGCCCCGGGTCTCCCGCCTGCCCCGGGTCTCCCCCTCCCGCCTGCCCCGGGTCTCCCCCTCCCGCCTGCCGCCCTATCAGCCCCCCATCCTGGGTGGTGTTGTATGAGCCACAGCCGCTACATTTCATTCCCACAACGTGG